TTTCCATGATGTGCTGGACGTCTAAAGATCTTTGGACAATATGTAGGATACAGCTGCCATAACTCATTGTGACCAATGAACAGAGAGAGCAAAATGGATAGAGAAGTTGAAGATCAAAGACTCCGGCAGGACACGCATATCTGTGATTGGTGATGAATTTCACTGCATTAGAGAAAGCTGGCTGACTTCAAAAAGATGCTGAACCTCCTGGCAAGGCATAGCAATAACCCCCCAAAGTCAGCGTGCTATGACACTTGCAGTTTCCCTCAATGTGAGACAGCACTGATTGCGCTGCCAAATGCCAGCTGAACAGATTTATTTTCTCTGAGACCACTTTTTCTCTCCCTTGAAGCCTTCTCTGTGCTTTCCTGTGAGGTGTAGTAATAAGCAAAGTTGGTAGCATGGCTCTGAAGTAGGTCTGCATTACAGCTGGGCAAAAAGTAATTTTGCTGTTCTGTTACAATATTTGACATTCTGCAGTATAGTCCCCTAACAGAGATAAAAACACCCAAGATCTAAAAAAACCCTAAACCTTGAGAGACTAAAACTCATATATTCATAGAATCATGGTATGGTTTGACTTGGAAGGGACCTTAAAGTTCATCTTGTTTCAAACTTCCTGCCATGGGCAGAGACACCTTCCACTAGACCAGAATGTCAGAGCTCCATTCAAGCTGGCCTTGGACACTTCTAGGGATGGGGCAGCCACAGCTTCTCTGAGCAGCAATTTTAAAGGTTGATTTGCATGAAATGAAACATTTGATGCCACTAATTGTAAAACTTTTCTTTTTAGCAAATATCGATTTTTTTTTTAATCTTTACTGAGTCTAGCTTTCTCAAAACAACACCCTTAATTTTTCTTTTCTGTCACAATATGGCACTTCAGTGATTTCTTTTTCTGACATATGTTGAGTCAGGAGATTAACTGAAACCAGTGTTTTCCCATAGTGTTTTGGTTACTAGGAACTTTGGGGGGGGTCCTATGAAAAATTATTTTAAATTTTCCAACCAACTCTAGTATTTATGAAAAAAATGGTTCACAGCAATGTCATGTGAATTCTTAAAGCAAAGGCAGCATCAACAGAAGGAGATAAACACTGCAGATAAGAGCTGGCTGATGAAATTAAGTTGAAGGGTCAGTGCCATCCTAATTCAATCTACTCATGCAAAACTTCTTGAAAAAGGAGGATATTGGAAAAAATGATCACTAGCTTTTCAGTAGATTGTGGAAAGATGAGAACATCATCCATAGAGACATGACTGGATTCAGTTCTTGGAATACTGCTTGTCTCCTCTCCTCTGGAAATATCATGTGGAAGATGATGAGGAAAGAGCCCCATTTATCAAAATAGGAAGGGACGAAGGTTTCCTACCCTACTGAAATGCCTTAGGAGGAGTGTTAACCCAAGCCAGAAAAGTAACAGATCTTGGCTCTGATTCCCAGCTTCTATAAACTGCAAGGATGGATGGATATTTGATTTTGAGCTTGGATTCAGACAGTTTCAAGAGCAATTATCCATCCATGTTCTGTAATTCAGCTATGAACTGGTCTTCCAACTCTTCTCACATTAACATCTGAGTTTCTATTTATTTGGATTTCAAAGTCCATTCCTGCTGTTGCTGTCTTGCCTTTTCCTCACACTGCAAACATCCAAGAAGGTACAGGGAAAAGGGGGTTGATCCAGTATCTTCCTTATTTAAGACAGGAAACGTGTAAGCAGATGATCTATTAATACAACATTTATTAATACCTCCTCACACACAGGAACCAAAAATCACAAGGCTGGCTTTGAAGCTGGGACTCCCTCACAGCAAGGTTTCCAGCAAAATGCAGGTGCCTGCCATATGAGCAGAGCAGACCCTGGGACCACGAGTGAGCAATTTGATGACTGCTGTGTGCTCAGTGCCCGGAGTAGATTCATGTCAAGGTGACACTTCCCTGGCTCAGATCTCCCCTTGTCTCTTACCGAGGAGCTGTAGATATTTTACTCCTTTAGGTTCCTTTTCTTACTTTTTTAAGTGCCTGATAGATGTTGTTCCTAAACACTTTTGCAGGTGATTACTGTGGGGAATTAGTAAGCTTCTTATTCACACCTTTCTGTCCAGCCCCTCTTGACTTGCATAATTCATTAAGCCAGAGGAAACAAGGGATCTCACAAAGCCCTGGCCAGCCCCAGAGGGGCTTTTCACTGGTTTAAGTTAATGATCGTTTTGGGAAGTGCCTGTGTAGCTGTTAAGCGTTTAGAGTCCCCTCCCATTCTTTCCCCTGTTAATAGGTGATTGTGCCACTGAGACATTCCCCAAGAGAACCCTTAACGTGAAGTATGAGCCTTGTTGCCTGTTGACATGCTGGCTAACAGGGATGAGACATCAGACTTAGGTTCCCAGAAGGAGTGCCTGAATTTTTGTGGTTTTCAAGCACTATAAATTTTGCTTTCTAGCACAGGTGAGGTTTGAACCCCTACCTGCAAACACTCATGTCCCAAGTGTCCCTTTCCAGTAGTAGGGACACTGGTAAAGGAAAATACAGATGTGAAAGAGGCCCTGAAGCCTTCAGACCTGCCAAGTTCCAACCAGTTTCTCAACATCTCCCCAAGGTGGATACGTGGAGTCAAGATATGAATGAAAGAGTAAAGCTTTTTGGCTAAATGATACAGGTCTAGTGATGCTGCTTCAAGGGCATGAGCTCAAACTCTTGGGCAATGTCCACACTTTTCACGTTTCAAAGGAGCATTCCCAGGTGCCTTAGTTTGCTTTTGGTCCTCAGATTGGTCCCTTGCATATTTTTGGCCTTGGCTCACCAGCATCTGTCCAAACAGTTTCCAGGCACTGTTGGGCAACCAGCAGGGCAGGGCCATTCCCAGCTGGCAGTTTGGATATAGCTGCTCTGTTTTGGAAAGTTGGAGAGTTTAATGAATGGATGCAGGTATTTCTGTGCCAGTTGGCCTCCAGGCTAGAGAACAGTCCAGGTTTAATTTTCTAAAAGAGACACAGCCTCAGGTCTCCTCCTTATCTCTGCCATTAACTTCCTGGGTAGTGAGGGCTTGGCTGTTTACCTATAAAAACGACTTTATGAAAATGGAGCTTGCATGAAAGAATGGTTTCAAAGACTATTTATTATGAATATGGTTCTTTTTAACCTAACAAGTCATTCACAAAGTGATCTTGGCTTCCTTGGACTGAGTTAGTGTTCAGAGACATTCACTGATCATTTACAGCAAGAAACATTCAGCCTCTGGTTTGTTTTCTTTGCTTCCTTTTTGCAGTGGGGACCGGCCAGCTGAGAGATCTGCTTTTGTTTTTCCTCTCCTTGATTTGATGATTGAAGCTTTTCAAACAGAACTACAACACACGGCAAATATCCAGGATGAATTTCTAGATAAATAAACACTTGGGATGAGGTTATTTTGAAGAATGGCAGTGTCAGTGCCTCCAAATGGCAAATAATAGAGTGAACTGAGCCCATACATTTTTTTTCCTGGAGCTGGAGAACTGCTATCCCTCCTGTTAACCTGTGCCTCTCCGTTTGGTGGCCTTTCCTGGTGCTTCTGAAGCACTGGGAAAGACACAGTTAGGGCTGGCTAAAGGTCAGCCCAGGTCCACTGTGAGAAAAAGGAGACTCTGCCCATTAACACGTTACCCTGAAGCGGGGTGAGGATCACTCCAGGTCTGGCTGTTCATGGGTTTGTGGGCTCAGGGGAGGTCAATCCCTTGCAGGGATGTCCACACTCAGCCTTTCCCAGGCGGGGATGGCTCGGGAGACGTGCCGGAGGCAGGCTTGTGTTGCCTAAGCATAGCTTTTGGCTCCATTGCTTGCTCATCTGTGGCTTTGCCTTCGCTCACTTGTTTCCTCAGATGAGTTCCTCTGCCTGCTTATTTGTGTTAGGAAAATTATCGTTCTTGTGTTTCGGTCTGTGTCGCTTCCTCTGGGCCTGTTTTGTTATTGCACCGAGGGATGTCTCTGATGAAGTGGACGGAAGGAGGAGGACTCAGGGCTTATTTTTATCCTATACATAGGAAGTTGGCCAGGACAGGGAAAAACAGAGCAGAAAGCCCTCAGAACACTTCCACCCCTCGGGGCTGGAGACAGCAGTCCCCACAGACCTGGCTCAAATGTTCCACTGCTGCCCAGGGACGCTGCCGAGGGAGGGGAACTTTCTCCGCAGTTTTGCTTGTTTGTTTTTGAAAGGAAGAGCGTGTGTTGCTTCCTGCCACAAGGATGGGGCTTTCTGCCCTGCCTCTGCTGCCATCCATGCTTCTTTTATTAAGGAATTGAACCTCAGACTACTGGAATGACTTAAAAAAAAAGGGGAATTTGTTATATGTGTGTAGGTAGTGTGACAGCACCAAGGGGCCCTGACAGGGCAGTTACATCACACTTTTCTAAAGGGATGTGAGAGCTGGTCCAGTGAGCCTCAAAACCAAACTGAACAGACAGAATCAAGGCAGCAACACAGGGCAGAAATTAAGAAAAATGTAGTGATTATGCTGGTACCAAGGAGAAGGGGATAGGATTAACCCAGACCTTGTGGTTTTTTAGTTTGATAGGAAAAAGGGTGATGGCTTTAAGCCAAAGGAGAGTAGGTTTAGGTTAGATATTAGGAAGAAATTCTCTACTATGAGCGTGGTGAGGCATTGGCACAGAGAAAATGTGGCTGTCCCATTCCTGGAAATGTCCAAGGATGTGTTGGAGCAACCTGGTCTAGTAGAAGGTGTCCCTGCCCGTGGCAAGGGGTTGGAATGAGATCTTGAAGGTCCCTTTCAACTCAAACCATTCTGTGATTCTATAATTCTATAATTCTATGATTCTGTGGTTCTATGATTAATGGCTCATTGGATCTCGCTGTTATCCTAGAAATTTTGAGGAAACTGAGGCACATGTTTTAAGACTAGATGTTTGCCTTGTATTCCCATTTTCTTTGTCCCATTTAATCTCCTTTCCAGAAGACTGCAGGCCGTATTTTTGCTTTTTTTTTTTTTTTTTTTTTTTCTTTTTTCAGTGGTGACAAGCAAGGAGAGGAGCAACAGACCAGACAGTCGGAACTCCTCCCACGCAACTTCCCTGGCACAGACCAGCATCACCACTCAGCATCTCCCTCCTCTGCTGCTGGTCCTGTCACACAGCTGGGCTTCAAAAGAGGATGCTCCTCTCCCACGTGCTTCAAAGAGAAACCAGGAGCCACAGAACAATTACTCCCACTCACAAGACGAGGGGAAATCCTCTTCTAACAAGGGATCATCCTGTTACAACGAGGATGTCTGGTGATTTATGACTTGCTGCTTTAAACTCTCCTTCCCCTCTGAAGAAACACAGGAGACAGCAAAGCTGGAGGGAGATACAAGAGAGAACTGACACTGGCAATACTTGAAATATAGTGGGAGAGCTGGGAAAACCCTTTCTTTTGGTCCTCATTAGCATGACTTAATTAATACTTATAATCTTATCAAACAGAGGTTGCCATGCAGGAGGGATGAGCAGGCTGGGAATCAAAGCTTTAATAAATAGATATTTTAAGACCAAAAAAGCACCACTGTAATTTTGCCTGGCTTCCTGTGTAATTGATGCCAGAGACAGACCTTTTCAACTGAAAAAAAAAAAAATGGATTTAATGGGAAAGTATAATTATTGTGATATTTTTGGGTAAAACTTGTAACAAGAAAACTTTGAGTGGTTTATTCTGCAATATCCAACTTATCTGCACTTGATTGGCTTCCATTTTCATTTTCTACTCTTAAGTGTCCTCTAAATCCCAAAGACTGTGTGCTCTGTAGAGCTTATACATCCATTTTCTTAATCTTTTTTTCTCTTATTGGCTCTAACTTTAGAAAAAAATATCTCAACCTAGGGCAAAAAAAAAAAAAAATTGGCTTTCTTTTGACACTGAAAAACTCTTGCAACTTACATTAAATACTGCAAAAATTAATATCTCTGCCATCAGTTCTGTTATTGTCTCTGACATTTTTACAGATATCCCATCTCATTTCATTTGCATTGTGTTTGTGCCTTAGCCTGGGTCTTAGGAGGGGTGACATCTCTAAATCTCAAGAATATTTTGTCATCGTGATGTCTGTTGAGGCAGTAAGACAAGTTGTCCCCACAGGAATCAAGAGAAAACAGAGCTGAAGCAGAAGGTCCTCTGTCACCCATGGAAATTGAATGCCAGGCCAGCTTGTGTTAGGAGCAAGTTCATCCAAAGTAGCTTTTGAATATAGAGAAGGTCATGATTTTAATCCAGTCTGAGTCCATCAGTGTCAGAGGATTTTACACCAGCATCGCTGAGATTTGAATTTGCACCAGAATGTTAAGCACAGGCCATTAACAGGACAGATTTCTCAGTGCTAAAGGGGGAGAGAGTAACTGTGAATTATAAAGCCACATCCTTACTGGCAGCTATAAATTTGGATAAACCTCCTCCCCCAGTGCTCTGGATTCTCACATGCTGTCTCATCAGGCTGCTTCCCTCTCACTTGTGAAATATTTTACAGTAGCCAAATTACCAGGGGATGAATGACCTCAATAAATTCAGTCATTCTGCTCTAAGAGAAGATACCATGCTGTGGAGAACAGAGTGAGAATGCATTTTTTTCTCCCCAGACTTACCATTATTCCCATTGTGTGTCAATTTTACTGGCAGGTGATTTTTTTTTCCTCCCTTCGTTGGCCCCAATTTGAATTTTTCCATTCTGCTTCCCACTGTAAATGCCTTTTCCAATCACTGTGTTTTAGCTTATATCAATGAACTCTGTACAGGGTAAGAGAATAAAGCAGGACAGGTCCTCAGCTGGTGTATATCTACCTTGCTCAACACATTTCAAGAAACTCTGTGCTGCTCTGACAGCTCAGGACCCATGCAGTGCCGTGAACACTGGACATAATCCTACCTTATATTTTTGTAGACAGACTTATTAAGCTGGAGAAAAATTTTTTACAGATACAGAATCAGTCCATCTTCATCTAAAATTCAGCAAATGCTTTTCATCTTCCTGGTAACTTGACTCAGTGGGTGCTATAAGCAAAGAGCCTGGGGCAATGGCATCTGAGAGGCTCCCAACAGCAGCAAGAGAGGTTCAAATCTCACTGGGCAAAATATCCTGAGCTCCCCGGGAAAAACCTCTAAATGGCAGTGGAGGCAGAAAACAGGTGAGAAAATCTCTACCCCAACTCCCTTAGCACTGTGGGGTTTTTTTTACAAAACCTGGTCAATATTAATGTAGCTTCTCTTCCAACTGAGAGCAAACAGGGAGGACTAAAAGTTTATTTCAGAATCCATCCAGACAGCTCTAACCTTTCTGAGGAAACAAATGCACAAACCCTGTGCTGGCTGAGAGCAGAGGAGCTGCAATTTCTGTGAAAGAGACAATTTAAAACAAATCAACAAACTGATAATGAAAACTAAATTCATTACTTCTTTAATATAGCCCCCCAAAACCCCCCAAACAAACCACTAGCCATGCGTAGCATCTGTAAGAATCATGGAATTATAGAATCATAGAATGGTTTGTGTTGGAAGGGACCCTAAAGATCTTCCAGTTCCAGTCATTGCTGCTCTGGTTCAATGCCAAGTGAATCACCACCATGTCTGGAACTGACTCTTGCCTCACCCACTTATAACCAGGTAAAACGTGGATGTCTGTTCTGAACTTCTCGTGGAGTCTGCCCCTGAAGCATCTTCAATAAGACTGACACCTGTTATTGGGGGATGATCTCACACCATGACACCCCGAGGGGTCCTAATGCCAAAATGACACAATGAAGAACCATGACCACAGGACCTGGAAACATTAAAGATCAGGTTGGACAGGGCTCTGAATGACTTGATCTAGCTGAAGATGTCCCTGCTTATTGCAGGGGGGTTGGAATAGATGAACTTAGAAGGTCCTTTCCAACACAAACCATTCTATGACTTTATGACTTTTGACATCTGAGACTTGACAGCTTGAGAAAGGTCTCACTGATGGATTTGATCCCATCCTTGCACACTGGAGGAGGACGTGTGGTGTTTGCTTTCTCCCCAGCCAGTGATCTGGTTCCCATGCCAGCTGAAGAGCCTCAGTCCCAACTTGAGAGCCAACCATGGGGCTTGAGAACCACTTTGACCATTGCAGCTCAGACCTGGTGGGGACAGTAAGCCTTCATTTTGTGCACACTGCTTTTGTGTGAAAGCAAAGCACGTGAAAAGGCTCCTCCCTAAAATTTCTGACCAGAGTAGTAGCTCCACAACTCATTACCAAAGTCAGCAGTGTTGCAGTACTGGAAAGTTCACTCCCTTTTGCTTATCATTAAGATCAGAGATGGAGGGATATAAACTAAAAGACAATGGCAGAACAGCCCTCATTCTTCTAGGATGAAGAAAAAATGTGGAAGGTCTGATGCAGGAAAGCAAGAACCTCCCAGAAAGTGCTGGAGCTTCAGTGAAGCTTCATTTCAGTTGATGCTGGAGCTGTCACTGAGCAGGGCCATGGTGGTGGCTACAAGAACATTCATTGCCCTTAGTTCTCAGAGGCAGAAACCCACTGTGAGGTCTTCACACTAGAGCAAGAAAGTCTTGCAGCTACAGTTGCCCATGGTTTCTCCACTTCCTGGTAGATTTGTGGTTATTCTTGCACAATTTTAGTTTCCCATCTGGCATTCTTGGTATTATCAATGTCAATTTTTTCTCTCTCATCAGGCATAAGACAGGATGCTCTTGATAACACCTCATCAGCTTCCAGCTTGATTCTTTCTCCCTCCGACATTCATCATGGTCTCACAGGAAAGGGCCAAGGGTATCCTCAGGTGCATTAGGAGGAGCATTGCCAGCAGGTTGAGGGAGGTGATCCTGCCCCTCTGCTCAGCCCTGGTAAGGCACATCCAGAGTGCCGTGCCCAGTTCTGGGGTCCTCAGGACAAGAGAGACAAGCAACTCCTGGAGCAGGTTCAGCAGAGGGTGACAGAGATGATGAAGGGACTGGAGAATCTCTCTGACAAGGAAAGGCTGAGCTGGGGCTGCTCAGCCTCGAGAAGAGACACTGAGAGTGGACCTCATCCATGTCTGTCAAGGTTCTGCAGGGAGGAGGCAGAGGATGGAGCAGGCTCTGCTCAGGGGTGCCCAGCAATGGGACCAGAGGCCACAGGCACAAACTGATGCCCAGGAAGTTCCATCTGAACATGAGGAAGAACTTCTTTCCTGTGCAGTGACTGAGCACTGGAATAGATTGTCCAGAGAAGTGTGTGAAGTCTCCCTCACTGGAGATATTCCAGAACTGCCTGGACACAATCCTGTGCCAAAGTGCTCTGGGATGGCCCTGCTTGAGCAGGGAGGATGGACCAGATGACCCACTGTGGTCCCTGCCAACATGACCCATCCTGTGGTTCTGTAATTCTGAGATAATTTGAAACATGCTCTGTTTGAGAAGGCCAAAGGCAAATCGGTAATAGGGACACCCGTGTCCTGCCTGTGCTGCTGTGACAAAGGAAAGGTCGCTAATGTGGGATTCCCCTAAGGGTTGTTTCACCTTACACTGTCACTGTTAAAAGAGAGTAGTGTTTTTGCTTTATCTTCTCTTTTATGACACATAAGGATTATATACATATATATATATATATATATACAGGATTAATAGAAAGTTAAAGTTTTGCTTTACAGCCAAATCCTTTCATAATGGCCTTAAAATCTCAGTGACTGCAAAGTTTGCAGGAATGGGTGATATCTTCAGTTTGCTGATTTCAGCTGATAAAGTTGCAGGGGAGGGAGAAAAAGTGCTTTGGGGCACATGAGTCTTTCCTTAAATCTCTGTAGATTTTGAAATGTCATTGTTCCCTGATTTACCTCACGAAACATAAACTTTACTAAACATGGTACATTAACGACAAGGTGTGCAAATGTGCCTTTTTAACTCCGAAACAGAGTTGCTTCTGTTCCAGACAGAGCTACCTCTTTGGACCCAAGATGACAAATAATTCAAGTTTAAACATAGGTAGTTGTTTGTAGGCCCCAAGACACTTCATGGTGAATTCATTCCAGCTCCTTTTCTCAATGTCCCCATACAAATAGGACCAAAATGTCAATGCCAGGAACAAGAGAGGAGACAGTTACGTACAGTCTGAGGATATGAAGCCACAGTGACTTTTATATATACATAGACACATGTATATATGTATGTATTTATATATATAAATTAGGAACCCTGAAACTTAAATCCATATGCCAGAAAACCTGCAAACAGACAAAAAGCTGAGGGCATTTTCTAAGAAAAGGATATTGCTGCCTGCCAGTGTGAGTATAAACTGCATACAGGTTTAGTTTGGGGGTTTGAGATTTTCAGCTGGGTATTTTTCATCCAAATAGAAGTCAGGTGTTTTTCAAAAGGCTGCCTTTTTCTTTTTTTTTGTTTTTTCCTTTTAATGCATCAAAGTATTTTTCCAACTGAAAAGAACTGGCTTTTCAACCAGAATGGAAATTTTTAATTCAATCTGAAATTTTGTTTATGTTAGGGGGGGAAAAAAAAAAGTAAAAACCAACCATGAAAACATTCTCAATAAAAAT